AAGTCTCCATCTAGATCCAACAGCAAGCCAGGAACAGTCCTTGAAATGGAGAAGAGTTGTTGGCAGAAGATGACATGGTCTGCAACTTCCCTGGTGGTCCAGTGGTTAAGAATCCACCTGCCAATGCAGGGGACCCAGGTTCAGTCCCTAGTCCAGGAAGAGTCCACATGCTATGGGGCAACTAAGTCTGTGCAGCACATGCTGAGCCCACGTGCCACAATGATGGAAACCCCCACGCCTCAGAGCCCGTGCTCCACAGCAAGAAAAACCCTGCGTGCAGCAACAAACACCCAGCACCGCACTCTCCCCACAGACACACAAACCAACCCAGGGTCTGCTGGATCTTGGGGCTTAACTGCTTATGTGGCAGGGGAGTTTGCACCAAAGCCTGGACCTGCATTGTTCTGAACCCACTTTTTCCCTGGGTCTCACTCAAAGTTGACAGTCTTTGTGGGTACTCAGTAAATGAATCAGAGGACTTTACCCAAGTAGTAAACATGTCTAGAAAAGCCAAAGAAGGCAATCAGGCACTGTCCCTCTGCCTTCTTGGTGGGCCTTCATATATCTGAAAACATCTTCATTTCCACCTTCATTTTTGAAAGGTATTTTTGCTGGGTATAGAATTCTAGGGTGGCAGTTATTTTGCTTTTCTTTTGGTACTTTGAAGATGCCATTCCAATGAGATGCCTTCTCATTTACACAATTTCCAATGAGAAATTTGATATCATCTTTGTTCCTCTGCACATAATGTGTCTTTTTCCTCACTCTGGCTAATTTTTTTCTCTTTATCAACAGGCTCTAAGCAATTTGATCATGATGTGCTTTAGTGTTATTGCTTGTTTGGGGTGTTTCCTGTTTTTTCTTATGTTTCTTGTGCTTGTGATTCATTGAACCTCTTGGATTTGTGATTTATGGGTTTCATTGAGTTTGGAAATTTTTCAGCCATGATTTCTTCAGATTTTGTTTTCTGTCCCTTCTCTTTCTTGTTCTTCTCCTTTGGGACACCGATCCATATATTGGATCACTTGATACTCTCCCACAGTTCACTGATGTTCATTTAATTAAATTTTTTTTTTTTGGCTGTTCTGGGTCTTCACTGTGGCATGCAGGCTCACGAGTGGTCTGAGCTCTGGAGTTGCTATGCACAAGCTTAGCTGCCCCATGGCTTGGGGTTTCTTAGTTTTCCCACCAGAGATCGAACCTGCATCTCCTGTACTAGAAGGCAGACTCCCAACCACTGGACCACCAGGGAAGCCCCTGAAATTCTTTTTTTTTTTCCCCTTGCTTTTTTACTTTTTTGGATAAGCTTTACTGCTCTACCATCACATTCAATATTATTTTCTTACATAATGTCTAAGCTGGCATTAATCCCATACAGTATGTTTTTCATCTCAGAAAGTGTCATTTTAATCTCTGAAAATTCTATTAGGTTTTTTTAAAAGTCTTTTATGATTCTGCTAAGGTTTTGAACATGTGGAATATAGCTATAACAACTGCTTTAGTGTCTTTCTCTGCTAATTCTAACATCTGTGGAAGTTCTGAGTTAGTGTTGATTATTTGGTAATTCTCTCCATTGTGGGTTGAGTTTCCCTGACTGTTTAAATGCCTAGAAGTCTTTGAGTAGATATCAGACATTGTGATTTTATCTTTTTGGGTGCTGGATATTTTTGTGTTACTATAAATTTCCTGGAACTTGTTTCTGGGATGCAGTTAAATTACCCAGAAACAGTTTGATACTTTGGGGTCTTGTTTTTATGATTTGTTAGTAGGCAGACCTGGAGCAATCCTCAGTCCCAGGCTAGTTCCCACACCCAAAGCACAAGCTTCTAGGGAATTCTGCCCAGTAGTGAATGATCGAGCTTTTCTAGTTTGGCTGGTGAAAAACAACACTGGTTCCAATGTATGTGAGTACCAGGTACTATTTCCTGTAGCCCTTTTGAGTGGTTCTTTCCCCAGCCTTTGATAGTTTCCTTCTGCACAAGTACTGGTCAGTATGCTGCTGGAAACCTGGGGGACCCCCTGCAGATCTCCAGGGGTCTCTCTCAGTGCAGTTCACTCCTCTTGGGTACTCTGTCCCAAGTCTTTTACTTGCCAGACTCTCAGCACTGCTTCCTCATCTCAAAACATGTTTCCTTGAAGTTTCAGAGCGGTGTAAAGATGCTCTTAAGACACACCGTTCGATTTCATTAGAAAAGAGGTCAGGCGAGAGTGTTCCCTGAGTGTTGACAGTCATACCTGTTGTTACACTGATCAGGTGAAACTGTGTTGTGGCTTGACTGCTGTGTGTTATGCATGTTTCAGGGCCTGGGGATAAGGCTAGGCTCAGTGTGATGTTTTTTAGGAGGTGGGGCTTTGGTAAATGATTAGGTCATGAGGCTGGAGACCTCGTGAATGGATCAGTGCCTGTTTTATAAGAGGCCAGAGCTACCCTTTTCCATCATGTGAGAGCACAGAATTACAGCCCTCTGTAACCAGGGACAGCGCAGTCACCCAGAACCAGACCACACTGGCATCCTGATCTTGGACTTTCAGCCTCCAGAACTGTGAGAAGTAAACTTCCGTTGTTTATAAGGCACCCAGCCAATGGTGCTTTGTTATAGCCCCAAAGTGATTAAGAGACACAGAGGAACCTCAAGGATGGATGCCTGAGGACTCTGGGATTCCCTGCTCTGGGGAACCCAAGACACTCCACCCATCAGCTGGTCACAGAGCCCCTGCCCCTGGTTTTAGATCTAACAATTCTAGTGCATGACACCAGCTATCAGTGTGTGAGCACGTGCGCCAAAAGGCAGTTCAAGGTGCTCTTGGGGTATTAATTTAATTCTTCCAGAAAGTTACTGAAATACTGGAGTAGGTCCTATTATCATTCTCTTTTTTATCTTTTTTTTTTTTCTCTTTTTTATCTTTGAAAAAACTGAGGCACAGGAAGATTTCTAGTATCCAGACTAATGGGCGAGACTCACAGGTACCCACTTTGCCAAGTGCTAAGGAAAACTATGCAGTGGGGCCTGGGGAGGTAGGCAAGGCTGCCCTGAAAGGACAATTCTGAAACAGATTTGGGCTGAGCAGACAAAGTGAAAATGGTCAGGGAGGGGCATCCAAGCTGAAAGGGCTTGGCAAGTGCAAAGGCCCTGAGGCAGGAGGGAGTAGAAACAGTAGAGGAACAAGGCAGTCAGTGAGACTGAAGTTGGAGATTCAAGAGAGGAGAGTAAGGACAGGGCTAGAGGACTGAGCAGGCCCAGGCCAACCCTGCTGTGTCTGGGGGTCAGAGAATACACTGTATAAATGGGGACATTGTTATACATACACTGGGACAATGGCAAAAATTGGGACTGTCCCAGACAAATTCAGACACTTGATCACTTAAAATGTAAGATGTACAGCAGAAACTAACACAGAATTTTAAATCATCTATACTCCAAAAAACAAACAAAAAAAAGATAAAGTGAAGAATTTGGTCTTTACCCTAAAACCAGTGGGGCATCTTTGGTTTTGGGCCACTTTTGTCGGTTTGGCCTTTTTATTTTTTTAACTGAGGTATAATACATGTGTTTGTGTGATGAGTTGCTTCAGTCACGTCCAACTCTTTGTGACCCTATGAACTGTAGCCCACCATGCTTTTCTGTCCATGGGATTGTCCAGGCAAGAACACTGGAGTGGGTTGCCATGCCCTCCTCCAGGGGATCTTCCTGGCCCAGGGGTTGAATGTGCATCGCCTGCATTGGCAGGTGGCTTCTTTACCACTGAGCCACCTGGGGAAGCTCCATGACACAGAGAAGTGTACAGATACTTAAGAGCATGGCTTATTGTTCTGTGCCCTAGTGGCTCAGCTGGTAAAGAGTCTGCCCGCAACACGGGAGACCTGGGTTTGATCCCTGAGTCAGGAAGGTCCCGTGGAGAATGAAATGTCAACCCACTCCTGTATTCCTGCCTGGACAATTCCACAGACAGAGGAGCCTGGTGGGGTACAGTCCATGGGGTCACAAAGAGCTGGACACCACTAAGTGACTTTTTTTAATTTATTTTTTCCTTTTTTGATTAAACTTTATGTATGTATAGACCCATATAGCAAGATGGGTCAAGATACAGAATGTTCCTAGTCCCGAAGCACATTTTTTCCCTGACGTATCCACTACTCTGACCTCTGACACCAAAGATTTTGTATGCCTGCTTTTTAAAAATTAAGGTATAATAGGGATGCAGTGACATGCACTACTCAAGTGTACAGTTTAAGAATGTTCCTTCAATGGAGTCCTGCATAACCACCATCCAAGTCAAATTACAGAACATTCCTAGAAGCCCAGAAGGCTCCCTGCTACCCATGGCACTCAATGCCTCCCTAACAGAGGTAGCCGCTAATTTGATTTTATGTTCATAGGTTAGTTTTTTCACAGGCTTCTTTAGTGCTCCATCTTCAACCTCATCTCCGCCTGGCTTGCCCTGCTCCTCCTGAAGCTGCCCCCTCTCCCCTCCTCCCACTTAAGGGATTCCCTAAGCCTACGTCCTCGTTGGAAAAGACCCTGATGCTGGGAAAGATTGAAGGCAGGAGGAGAAGGGGACGACAGAGGATAAGATGGCTGGATGGCATCACCGACTCGATGGACATGAGTTTGAGCAAGCTCCGGGTGTTGGTGATGGACAGGGAAGCCTGGCGTGCTGCAGGCCATGGAGTCGCAAACAGTCGGACACAACTGAGCGACTGAACTGAACTGAACTGAACCTACATCCTGGCTCCCCAGCCCTTGCCTGCTCACCCCCACGGCCTCAGTTACGCCCCCACGAGTTCTAGGCTGCCCCTCCTCTTCCGACGCCAAGGGTTCCTCAGAGTGCAGATACTCTCCATCACCCCCTCCTTCCCCAGACACACGCAGAAACCTGCAATCTTAGTACCAGCCCAGAGGGAACGGCAGGCCGCTTCCTACCAAACTGCCACCCCAAGGCATCTGCTTGCGTGGAGGGGACGGTGGGCAGTAGAGTTTGAAGCGGCCGTTGGGGGTGCATCACGAATTCTTGGGGCGCTGGGTGGCCCCTCTCCGGCAGCCCCTACCCAGCCCGGACCTCAGTCTCCCGCCCGTCAAGTCGGAGCAGGGCCTGCTTTCTGCCAAAGGCCGCTCCCAGCTCAGAGGAGGCCCGGCTTTAAAACACCCCGTCGTGCGGTCGAGGTCGCCAGCACTGCGGCAGCGGGGTAGCCTTGACGCTCGCCTCAGCGCACTAACCCCGAAGCCCCCGGGCAGGCCAGAGTCCGCGGGCGTCTCCTCGAGCCTCGGGGTCCCCTCCTGGAGCTGCGTCGCGCGCGCCCGGCGGGAGCGCGGGCCCCGCACACAGAGGCCGGGTCCCGCACCACACGCTCGCGCGCGCCATTCGGCCGCCCCCTGCGCGCGCTCCGGCGCCCGCAATCTCGGCGGCGCGCTGGCCGCTCTTTCGGCCCGCCCCCGCCGGGGGGTGCTGCCCGCCGACCCCGCCCGCCGACCCCGCCCGCCCGGCCTTCCCAGCATCCCGGCCCCGCTACGGCAAGCGGCGAGGTCCGGCCCCGCCGGGAGCCGGGAGCCGGGAGCGCGGGGCGGGGCGGCGCGCTGAGGTCAGCGCGGCGGCGGCGGCCGGCCCCGCCGTGGTTGGCTGCGCCCGCGCTGGCCGCGCCCTGGTTGGCTGCGGGCCGCGGGGCTGGGCCGCCAGGTCGGGGCCTGGGGTCGGGGCTCGGGCGCCGGCCGGGCTTTGCGCAGTAGCGCTGGCCTCCGCGCTGCTCCAGGCAGACGGCGAGCGGCGGCGGCAGCGGCGGTGGGCGGCAGGGAGGGCGCGGCCGCGGGGCTCGCGGCGGGGGCGAGGCTAGCGGCGCCGGGCGGGGCGGGCGGCGGCGCCGAGGGGAGGGGAGCGGCCCATGGACCCGCGGGGCCCGGTGCCCCAGACGCTGCGCCGCCGGGCCCGAGCCCAGGAGGTCGGCCTAGGCCGGGGCGCGACGACGCGGACGGGGCGGCGGCGAGGCGCCGCGGCTGCCAGGGCTCGCGGCCGCCGGGCCCCCGCGGGCGCGCCCTGACGGACCGGCCGGAGCGGGCCGGCGAGAGGCGCGGCGCGTTGGGAGCGGGCCGCGCGGCACCATGTCGGCCAAGGTGCGGCTCAAGAAGCTGGAGCAGCTGCTCCTGGACGGGCCTTGGCGCAACGAGAGCGCCCTGAGCGTGGAGACGCTGCTCGACGTGCTCGTCTGCCTGTACACCGAGTGCAGCCACTCGGCCCTGCGCCGCGACAAGTACGTGGCCGAGTTCCTCGAGTGGGGTAAGTGACCGGCGGCCCTGCGACCCCCGCCCCGGCGCGCCCTCCCTGTCCTCGGGCAGCCGCCCGCCCGGCCTCGTCACCGCTCCCGGGCCCGCCCGGCCGCTCCTCGCGTCCCTTCGCGGCTCTCGGCCCGGCCCGGCCCTGCCCTCCTCCCCGGCCTTCGCACGTCCGCGCTGGGCCGTCCCGCCCCCTCATCCTGCCCCTCGGAGCCACATCCTCCGTTCCCACCCCCGCCTCCACCGCCCCGCGCCCCGGCCGCTTCCTAGATCCACCCTCCCCGAGCCTGGATATCGTTTCCTGCAGCCCTCCCCGGGATATCCGCCCCCGGCCCCCGCCTTTGGGGTCTCGAGTCCGCGTCGAGTTCCTCGCCCTCCCGCCCCGCAAACTCGCCCTGCTGGGTCGTTTGGGCAGCGGCGCGTGCCTTCTGCGTCCGCCTCCCCACCCCCGCGCGTCTCCTGGGAGCCCCTCCTAGGTGACAGCCTGTCCCCATCCCTTGGTGTCCAGGGCCTGAACATCCATTTTACTGTACCACCTCCAAGGGAATTTTAAAGTCGAAAGCCTTGTAGTGAAACGCCATGCGAGAGTCGGTTGATTTTTTTTCATTGTAATTTTGCCAGACCCTGATAATGCTTGGGGGGCGGAGGGGAGGGCAGCTGGAACTGCTAATCTATGGAAGTCACTGTAAAACTTTCTTCATCAGACCTCTGCATGCTTTTTAATCATTGGTCAGCTAAATTATTATGTTCTACTAGGACAGAAATTTGATTAAGCTGTGTAATGGTTAGAACCCCAGAAACAACTACACGTGTAAAGCGACATCTTATCTTTCTCTAACTTGGGCGTCTTGTCAAGACCCTCAACCTCGTTTAAAACTACCTAGAAGGAAGATGAGATGCTTCTGTTCAGAGTTCAGGTCAAATCTATGAAAATCTTATTCTTGGGTCTTTTTCGTCGTTGGGCTCTGACTGTGCCGTTTTGAACCAGTAATTTCTAACCTTTGGGGCTGATAAAGCTGACTTTTTTACATAAAGAAATGAATGTGTTCTGTAGTTAGGACCCCTGGTCTGCCAAAATGGTAGTTGGAATTTGGGATTTTGTTTACCAAATAAAACTTACGTTGTTACATTTTTTAGAGAGCTTTCTCTTCTTCCTTCTTGAGCGAAATTTTGAAGTCTTGTGAGAGCAGCAGGAAAAGGAGGCCCACAGCCCCAAGACAGCCTGTTTCGCTTTGTTTTGGGCTTCATTTTGGTGCTGACCACCCTTCCTGGTTACATACAGTATCAATAAAATGAGAGTACTGTTCATTTTCTGGCGTCATTTATTAGTGATGTGATCGCCAGCTGAATAATTAACCTGACTTCACAGTTGCTTTGAAAGTGAAGTCTTTGGGGCCTCTTACATCCCAGCCTTCTGAGGATCCTGTTTGCTCTTCCTTGCTGAGCATTTGATCTTGGAATCCAGACAGTTTCACAATCAGGTTCAACTCAGTGCTTGGCATGTGAGTCAGTGTGTGACTGAAAGGAGGCAGCAGATGGAAGGGTGAGTTAGCAGGTGAGGTGTGGTCCCAAAGGCCTCTGGCCTGGGAACCTGCAGTGCCCAGGAGGGGCTTACTCATCCCAAGGCCGAACCAGGGGTTCCCGTGTAGCCCTCTTAAAACCAAACAGTACCAGCCACTCTGAACTGGTGGGTTTCATTGGAGGAAGCTCTCAGCATGTGAGGCGGTCTTATGTTGTGAGGTTTGACTTTTCCCCAAGTCTAAATAGAAGCTGTGTGCTGTAATATAGAAATGTTTTGACTCTTTGGAAATTATGATTACAAATAAATGACATTACCTCCTAAGAATTCAGTCTGCACTGAGCTTAAATTACAGATAAGAGAATGAACTCTAATTTAGGTGGCATTTTTCGTGGACTAGTAATATATTTGAGAAGCGGCATTTAATGTCACATACATTGACACATGCACCATTGTAACGCCACAGTGTGTATCACTCCTTAGGATGTGGGCAGTCATTATTTAGTGTTGCTTGGAACACGCAGTTACTGTGTTGGAAAGCAAAGAGTGGTCTTTCAAGTGGAATTGTTTGTGGAGCATTGTTAGGTACTCTGACTTCCTGGTGGAATCACTTCTACTCTACTCAAGAAACATATATATAGACTGTCACACTGCGAGTTGTAGATTTACACTCTGCATGATGTTTGCAACCTCTAATGTGTCGAGTCCTGGCATGCAGAGGACCAACCTTGGTAGGTATCTGCTGACAGTTATGTAGAAGTCTTAAAGCTCAATGAAGAAAAATACCCGATTCAGCCCAGATTTGAGAATTATTGGGGACTTTGAGGAAATTTGGAAGGTATAAGTAATAAAGTTTTACGTTTTAAAAGAGAATTTTCCACAGTGGTTGCATGGGACTAGACTCATCCTAGCCTTCACTGTAGGTTTTGCCTTTAATTTTCCCTTGATTATGTTTATAGTTTGATTAGTTTCCTCTATGAAATCCTGGACTTTAATTAAAAGTTGGAAGTACCCTGCTTTGCATGTGTATTTCTTTAAGCTATTTTTTAAATGCAAATTTGATACTGTTTGAAGCAGAGCATGTGAAACACTTTGAAATTTCTACAAGTAAACAACAACAAATATGGACAACTAAATGAGGTGAAGTTGTCTTTCATCTTCATTATATAAAAATACTCGTACATGTGTTAAATTTTTTTTCCCTGACTTAAAAAAATAATGATGGGTATTATGTTTGGACAGAGCTGATGTTGGAAGTTCCAGCCCATTGGCGTTAGATGGACCACAGTGGTCCTCTGCCCCGGCCCCCATGTGGCTTGCAGACCAGGCGGGAGGCAGACCTCAGCCTGGTTCCCCGATTCCCAGTCCAGGCCCGCTTCTTGCTCTGTGCCACCATACTTCCTCTGGAAGCAGTAGAATTCATCTCTGTAGCCCTCTGTTTAATTTCCTCATTGGTGATTTTTCTTAGGAATGAAGCATTACCTTGTCTGGAGTTCTCTCTCATCTGTGTGAATTCCTGTAGCTTTTGGCACGGGGATGCTCAGCGCCCAGTGTGAGTGGGATGTCTCTACCAAACTGAATGTGTTCGGGGCTTAACTGATGGTGCTAAATAGCTCAACATACATTTTAATGTTAGTGGCTTCTCGAGAGAGAATTTTTGCATGACATGGGAACACTTTTTTTTTTTAAGTAACATTTTAAGAAACAGATCTTTTGAATAATAATATGTAACTTAGTAGAGGAATACTGGGATTGTGTAATAAAAATTAGGTTAACACAACTTGGATTTGTAAATAGCTATTTGAAGTGCAGAGTGATATTGATTATGGCACTGTGACGGAACAGCTGAAACCATTAAACATTAACCAGCCAGCCTTACCTTTTCTCTCTTGAAACCTCCTCCATTGACAGTTGGGCTTTGAAATAGACAGCGGTGTCTCTGTTAAGTCTAGACCTGCGGTAAATGAAACTGGAGTTGGAGTGAGTTGCCCTCACCTGAAGATACCACTGCCTGAAAGAGCTGAGGAGGGGCGGTGCATTGCTCTTCAATTGCAAATGCACATCAGGTAAAAACTCCAAATACGGCGACAGTGTGGACAGGAGCACCCCTTGGCTTTGCCCTGCCTCCTATTTGTAGCACCTGACTCCCTTGGAAGTCTTGTCCTGTCTGTGCTGACGTCGGTGATGCCGGATAAACATGCGAGCAAACAGGACTGTTAATTCCAAACTATATTAAGTACAACAAAACTATTGAACTCTTTTCCTGGTAAAGAGGCAAAATATATTTTTTTGAGAGTAATAAAGTAAAAGGATCATGCTGGAAGAAACGAAATACAAATTTTTACCCTTTTTCCCCCCTCATCAAAAAGGTGATAAAATGCAAGTAAAGAAGATTTTGAAAGAATTAAGAAGACAAAACTCCCTGTAATTCCCTCACCCCAACCCCATAATATGACATCTTTATTCCCTGCCCTGAATTTGATTCTTAAGTTCCAAATGACAGTATGTTAGCATCATCTGAAATTTGTGTGAGAAGCTCTCTTAATAATGAAAATGCATGAGAGGAAAATACACTTTCCTTAGATTTAAAATCATAAGTATTTGGGGACTTCCCTGGAGGTCCAGTGGTTAAGACTCCACCTTCCATTGCAGGGGGTGGAGATTGACCCCTGGTTGGGGAGCTGAGGTCCCATGGTCCTTGGGGCTGTAGCTAAAAATTAAAATCATGAGTGTTTGGCCAATATAAACTTCATATGGTAATTTTTGAAGGCTTTATTTAGGCTTAAAATCTATCAGAGAAATTTTGTTAAGACAATAAAACAGGTACTATGAGATGAAGGTCATACGTTATAGTATGATTTTAAATGTGTTCCATATTAGATATTTGGTCAGTGTTATTGAGTGGTAGGTAACTGGCAACAAAATTGTTTTCAGATTAAAACTTTGTGAAAAGGATCAGTTATGTAATATAATAGACTTGGATATTTTGTTATCTTTAGGAAAGAATTAGAGATTTGAAGAAAATTTCGAATTATATAATTTCTTATACTGGAGCATCTTTGAAGATATATGAGATTTACTCTTCTAAGGGGACTGCTGACATTACTGACGTGATGATGCTTCCTCTTGCTTCCAAGTTGTGGGTTTGAAAACTTTTGGGAATTTGAGAGAGCGCATGGTCTGTCCTCCACCCCCATCTCTCCTCTCTCTTGGGTAAACCAGGCTCTGGAGTTTTCCCCTGATCATTTCTGAGCAGCTAGCCCTCTAGCCAGGGTTCCTCTCCTCCATGGGCTCCTGGTCAGCCATGGGCCGTCTTGCCGGCACCTGCTATGTAATATCTCAGTTTTATTTTAACCTTTTTTTTCCTTCATTCCCATCCTCACTGGCCTAGCTGAAGGTCTCAAGAACTAAATGAAAGCCTTTCTCCCTTGAAGATTTCAATATCTCTGCCTGATTAGTCTTCAACACTGCCTTGCATTTCATCC